AACATGAAAAACTTTCGTAGGACGTATTTTCTTGTAAAGTTCATATTTACTGAGATATCGCACTTTGACGCACTAATGAGCAACCCTGTATATAGTTCAGATAGTGTATCGATCTAAAAGGAGATTATGTTGAGAAATAAAACGTTTTTGGGCCAAAAAAATTCATTTCATTAAAAAATCACTGACTTATCAAACGACCCTCGAATTTTAAAGTTTTATTTTATTTTATATTTTAAAATATATGTATATGCAAACGGCCTCTAATTATACAGAGTGTCTCATGGTCAGCGTATATTAGAATATTTCGGGAAGTAAGGCGATTTGAATCCTGCAAATTTGGATAATGGGATTTTCGGAAAGGCTCTTTTTAGATAAAATAACAGCGGCTTCCGGTTATATCGGAAGTTGTCTACAACTTACTCATTTTAAATGGACCACCTTGTATAATGTGTTTTTCGGTATTACGCAGAAAAGTGAAAAAATAACAATTTTTATTTTCCGCCAAAAAAAACTGGAATTAGGTCGCATAATGTCACTGTTCATCTGAAAAAAGCGTCTCCGAAAATCGCTTTATCCAAATTTGCAGGATTCAAATCGTATTATTTCCCGAAATATTCTATTGGACGTTGACAGTGAAACACTGTATATTTAAAGTATAAATTATTTAATTAAATTCTGAAAAGTGCACATGCAGTTGCAGTATGCTTTTGAGGACTTTTTGTTGTAACTGTTTGCAGTCAGTAACATGCTTTTTGTTAATAGAAAAGCAATGATTCGAGTGAAAAACGTGCATGCAGTTACAACAAATTACATTTCAAAAAATGCCAAATAACAATTATCAATCTTTATTTATAAATATTTCATGTTTTTTATAGTTAATGTGTAACTTGTTAAATACTCAACTGCTTCTTATATTCAGAGCGCAACAATTTTATGCCTGATTAACAGGCCACTTGCTTAAACAAAAGGTTCTTTACACTTGCATAATGTTGATGACTGCACATAAAATATTAAACTCTACAGGAAATTTTAGTCCAGCAAAAGACTTATTAAGCTGTAACTTACCTGTGGGGCTGCATGAACATGTCCATGTTTATGGGAATGACCATGATGATCAATTTCATGTTCTCTGACTATAACCGTATAATCTTCATGTTCGCGTGGGAGCATTTTGGTTTCAATGCAGGGCGTTAAAATCAGATCTCCATCGAGCATGTTCTGATTGGTTTCCATCTTAGGTTCAGATTTATCATCTAAAAATGTAAGTATGTTCATATACATTCTCACAAGTTAATCGAGAACAAGATATAATAGAGATTAATTGCTGCTAGGGAAAAATGAATACTGTCCATGCTCAACATGTAGAAAATACGTTTTAATGTTCGTTTTACGGCTTTTCAAACATTTGGATGGCTAATTGCTGTAATTGGTACAAATGGTTTTGGAAACCCAGTTAGAGTTTCAACTTCACTAAACTCAAAGATGAAACTCCTCGGTTTCATTTTTAGAGTGGTGTTTTAGAGTAGTGTTTTATTTTGCCACCATCTATTGACCGAAAAACCTACAGACCTAAATAGGCGTCTTTACTGATTATCATCACAGTCACTAATTAACCACTACATCATTTATTTTCAATTTTGAAAATTGTGATCAACACCGCATACGTAATTTTTAATATACATTTTTTTTGCAAGGATTAATATCCAATAAAAGATTGAAAATAAAAGAACATTTTTGCAATATGAAATTCCGGACTGAAGACGACTAACAATTAATGTTAGGCAATTATATTTTACTTCTATATAAAATAAGTTTATCAATAATATTTAAAAAAACTTAATATTTTGTACTGTGTAGACCCCGGTGATAGCAGAACTTATTGTTAAGTCATGCAAGGTTTTCCAATTAAGTGTTTGTTAGACTGTGAAAGGATGTGTTTTTTGAACAATTGTGTAAAATGTAATTTGTAAAATCGACCGATATGGTTATAAATACATACGTCCTTGGTCTGTTTCGACAACTGACAATTATTTGTAATTTGGTTAAAAGGCTTTGCGCCTGTTCTACGCGACAACTTTACAAGCATAAGTGATTATAGCAAGTTTTTAATAAATATAAGGCACATTTTAACAAAATACTTACTAGGGTCCGTCATTATATCATTATAACAATAAGGATATGTGTTATATTTATCCATACACTGAGTAGAATTTCTCCTTTCGCCTTCGTCATTATAAACCTGCACATGAGCATGCTAGAACATAAAAACTTTATAATATTATATTATTTAACAAAAAAAAATGAATATTTAACAACACAGACTCAATGAAGCAATTAGGATCACAATATAATTTTGAAAACGGATAAGCAGTTGAATCATTTTTAATTAAGGCACTTATACAGTAGTAACAATGAATAATTTTTATTTCATTTGGAACATTGTAGAACAAAACCCGATATTTTTTACAAAAATACAAAAAAAAACCGATATCCGGCTTCTCAAGTACCCGGAAAATTGGTTGATGTGCAGAGACTTTTAATACAATGTATTTTTTACTTATACGCATTAGAATAGTAAGTAGTTAAAGTAAAGCTGAAGCAAATCTATTATACACGGTGCCAGTATTAACGTGACACATGAAAAATATAGGTCTGATTATAATGAGTATAAATGACATCGCAAGCCTTTAACAAGGCAATATATGTATAAAATTCAATAAATTTGAAGAATAAGATTGGAGAGCTGCGATGTAGTTTRCTYTCTGAGGAAATTATAATTTCTATTCTCAAATCCAGTATGGAACATATGTTTTGCATTTCTGTTTTCGATATAAATTCTTTCTAATATCTGAAATGCGTGAGAAAAAAGTTATATCACGAACAGAAATGTATATTTCGGCAAAAATCTTGGGTAGCATAAAATTCGAAATATTTTCCTCGTAGAGTTGACAACTCGTGTATGAAAATTTAAACTAGATGTGCTGTGTATTGCTTGTATGAAAATTTAGACCTATTGAATCCTATATAATACCCATTTTATCTCAGTTTACCCAAATGCTGAGTATCCAAATATACTGCGAGATTCGATATTGCTGTAACTCGAGTTATGATTGTAATGTATTTTTGGGCTACGCTTTATAAATTCCGACCATCAGAACAGCCAAAAAGTTTAATTGATGTGCCCAAGAGTGTTTTCTAATCACCAAACCCGTGAAATGTGCATAAATTTGCTGTCAGAAATTCCTCAGGCTAAATAATGACGATCTAACGCAACTTGCCGTAGTAGAAAGGTTAATGATTTTGGAGATATTTGGAGATGGAATCGAAGATTCAATTCGATTTTAGTTTATGATAAATATTTTCTTTGGTATTTGTTGTATTGTCATAACATTTAGTCAGGGTGGGTTTTAGGCGATGACAAACTGAAATATGATTTTATTTTCAATACAAAATGTAGAGAGCAACAGTTGACCTGCTTTGGACACATTTAAAACGAAATTACTTTGACCAACCAGCCACACTGTATTTATTTAAAAGTAGAAATAAAATTGATTTTACTTCACCGCCTCTTGTCTAAAAAAGATAGACGTGGCTGGCTTGAGTGGATTTGACATTCCGCCATCGAGATATCTGGATTGAAAAAATAATTTCGTGACCAACAACATAAACCCAATTAAAAATAAATGCTTTTAACAAATGACCTTCGTTTTCGGGTATGCAAATATTAATACGTCGTAAAAAAATAATTCAACTCTTTGGAGCATTTCGTTTTTCCAACAGTCTCTAAAACATGGCTTCTTAATTCAATTTCTGTATTTACCGACCGCGCATACAGGAGGAGGTTTGGCTAAAATCTCCACAGAAATTAATACAGAGGGTTCAGGTTAGTGGTAGCCATGTAGCTGGTCAGTTTGAGAGTTTATCATGTCCTCTGCCTGTCCATCTATTTGAAAACTGAAGTTCCAGAACCTGGTAGTCGTTATCAAATGTGGCAAATAAATTTCGCTATTTAGTCGAGAGGGTCAAATTACTGGAATAATTACGCAATCTATGATTCCTTGATCATGACACGTTGACCTTAAACTCAGGCTGATAACAGATTAATTTAGTTGCATCAGGATTTTTCGCAGTATACACACGATTATTGTGCACATTAGTCGCTTAATTTTTTTCTGGAAAGGTTACATCTTGAATTATCTGTTCTAGGATGAACCGACAGAAAGTTGCAAGCGGACGTAAAATACAGTGTGCCTGAAAAAAGTTATTCGTTTTAAAGGTGTGAAAAATACTGGAGTTAGCGACTTAGTCCATAAAAATTAGTCTATAAAAATTATTTTACATTTTAACACCAAGATGCTAAATCTAGGCCTGGGTAACACTGTGTTAAGTTGCGCTATTGAGTTGTTGCCTCTGTCTTAGTTAACGAGTTACAACTCATCGATTAATGAGTTACAAGTCAATTTTCACATCTAAAAAAAAGGTCATCAACATTTTTTCTGAGTGACGTTTTACTACTTTGTTCAAACAACTAAAAAAAGTCATCGAGATTTTCGCAGCAACAGAACTGAGTCTAAAGAAAGCCCACGAGTTTTCTTGTAAAATCGATCTATTAATTTTTTTGCATAAAAGATTCAGTTTGCCAGTATTTTAAAGTTAAACGTTAGAAAAAACGCGGTTTCCCTGTTTAGAGACAGTGTTGTTTGGAAATATTGACCTAAAAGTGAAGAGTTTTCCCGATAAATGATTATAAACTTTCGCTTTTTCAGTTCGGCGAAATATTTTTGGAAAAAGATCCAGAAATAATTATTACGGTTTTGTCCATCATTCGAAGCTTCAAAAAGTTTTCCAAAATTTTTTTCAAAGCGGTTAAGGAGACGAATGTTTCAACAAAATTATAATTTTTCAAGGAAGAAGATTGTCAGTATTTTAAGTAAAACTGAAAATAATGCGATTTTTAGGTAGAAAGAATTGCTTAATAGAAACTTTTTCAAAAATGGAATGACCTGAAAATTTAAAGGAACTTTAAAAATCTTCAGAGCGATGAGGGCGGGGAATTTTTCAAATAATTTTTTGTAAACTTTTGCTCTCGTTAAAAAACTGAATAAAATTATTTGGTTTTTGTGCCGAATTGGAAGCTGAAATGGGTTTTCTAAAGTTCCCTGCAAACCCATGAAAGCGGCCAATTTTGTCATTTTCGGCTAAAAAGACCCCATTATTGTTAGAAAATAAGAATATCATCGGAAAATAATTGTTTTTTTGCGATTTCGAATAAAAACTTTTAGTTTTGTGAACCAATTTGGAGAAAACCTTACTGGATTTCGAAGGAAACGGGTGGAATTTATTTTCGTTTTTGTCCCGAATTCGACGCTGAAAAAAGTTTCTGTAAAATTTTTACAAAGCTATAAATTTATCTTGCATTTTTTCGCGTAACATACCTCCTGATCGTCAGTATTTTTAAAAAAGCTAAAAAAACACATTTAAGAAATAACTACTCTTCAGAGGAATGGAGGTGACGAGATTTCCAAAAAAATTGTTCCAAACTTTCGCTTATGCTGTTCGTTTTAAGATAGAAAATTAGTTGATTTTTGTTCCAAATTCAAGTCTGGAAAGGGATTTCAAAACTTTTTACAACACGATGAAGGATCCGAAATTAATTTCATACTTTTTCGCGGAAAATACCTTAAGATTGTCTACATTTTCTCGGCAACGGAACTGAGCCACTACGCCGGTGCATTGAGTTGGCGCACCAAGCCATTTGCGTAGCACTGCGCCAAATCCTAAAAATTTACTGAGTTATCCAGTCCTAGCTAAATCAACTTTTCCCACAAAGCTGCATGTAAGTCAAATGCGTTGTACGTGACTAAAAAATCTACCTGATTCTAAAAGTTCTTGTAAATTTTTGACACAACATATTGACGATTGCAAGAACGTTTTTTAGCACAAATGCAATAAATTATAATATTTATTATTTAGAGGCTACTCACAGAAACACTAGAATCCTTCTGCTTCTTCTTCCTATATTTGGCAGCTACCATAATTAGCCTTTCCATAATGAAAAATAATGTTAAGCCCATCATAGCCGCCAGTCCTTTCCATGTATTTGAGGTGTGAGGATCCGGTCCATCCGGGTCGTAATGGTGTTCAGCACCATGGGAATGAACTTCGCTCATCGCGTGAGGGAGCAAATGAAGTAGCGCATCTCCAGCAAGAGTACCTTAAATATACGTAATTTTAATAACAATATACATCATTTTTAGTTGTTGAAAAGGTTCGTTTAAAGTGTTGTCGTTTCTGCAAATAATTCTGTGCAAATTTATGAAATGTGTAACAATTATGGTGGTCGAAGAAGTGTTGCAGTAAACAACGTGTTTTATAATTTCCGCCGTGGTGATTATCTTCCTAGCCTGTATGATTTCGACGACCTCGCCCGCATTGATTGGGGGTTGGAAGCGCATGAAAATTGCGATGTTCTTTTGAATACTTTTTATGTCAGGATGTATGATGTTCTGGATAGGTTTGTTCCGAAAACAGTCACAGGGTTAAAAAAGTATCCACCCTGGTTTGATTCGTCTCTCATTCGAATGGTAAAGGAGAAACAGTTGCTTCTGAAACGCTATCGTTACTAATAACATAACATATCATTCGAGGTTTATGTTGGTGAGGGCTATTTTGAAGAGATGTGCTCATATACCTGAGAATCATGCGGCATTTTGGAACCTGATCAATTCCAGAACTTATGTATTTCTACTATGTTATGGATGGGGACGCTTCCTGCTCCGATCCTTGTCTTGAAATAATGAGATCTACATTTTTTTTGTTTATAAACGACATTGTTGATGTTAATGCCCTCTTATATGTGGACGACATGAAGCTAGTCTGTACGGTAACCTTCGTCTTCAGCGGTCTCTTGATGATATAACTGCATGGTGTGGTAGGATGCGACTCTTAATGTATCTAAATGTAGCATCATGTCTTACTCATTGAGTCGTGATATGATCGAACATATATATAAAATTGGTGTCTCCCCGTTATCTAGAGTCACAACATGTATGGATTTGGATGGTCTTTTTGCTCAGAAATTTAGTTTTGCTTGTTGTGTTAGATACTTTACTTCCACTCGTACGCTGAACATCCTTTTTAATAGCTTGGTTAGATCCAAGCTTGAATATGCATCTATCGTATGGTCTGACATTTGATCTTGCAAAGTCTTGAATCGACGTGTCGAAGTTTTCAGTCCCTCTAAGAATCATGAGATCTTGTAATTAGTTGAGGGGGCCTCAAGATATCTTTACTTCTCCTGCTCGCGCTTAGCGCTATCTGGGAGAGACCGGATTCTAGCAAACCATATGTGTTTGTTTAAGCTCAACGATTATCCATAAAGTAACGTTTTTTTACATGACACAGTTGCAAGCTGAGTTAGTCAATCGTCAAGGCGCAGTAAGCTATTAAATGCACATTGAATGATTTAGAAAATATTATAAGAAATGACTGAAGTATGAAAGGTATGCGATTTTACATACCTATTAATATACTTATCGCGCTCTATATGAACAGATATGAACAACTGCTAGTTATGCAAAACCCTTTTTTGAACCCTTAAAAAAATTAATGCAGCCTATGATGTTGTGTAAGCAGCAGCGAAATGAAGACAAAAATATTAACTTATTTACTAGTAATCAATGGTTGCCAAGTATGTATCATATGCCTAAAATATTTGATAATTTTATATCTTAAATTACATAGACATTGATAAAGTCAATATTGTGGTATTGTTCTTTTCATTATAAAACTTTTCATTCCGTTTATTTCCGAAAACTCAGCGATTTGAGCTATAAATGTTTGAGTATTTAGAAATTATTTCGGAATAAACGCACGAGCTCAACTTCACACGCAGTTTCACACACACACACACTTTTCAGCAGTAAAATACATACAAGTAAGACTTGGTAATAACGTATGTGGAACTATTTCAATTCGTAACTAAGTCTGCATATAGTTATCGTATTTAAATAAGCACTTGGGTTCAAATTTAAAAATATTTTAATTGGTGTTAGGTAATACGCAAAATTAAAAAATGTATAGTGAAAAATGATGTTGGAAATGTTTAAACAACAAATTTCAAATAATTGATTGTTAATAAAATAATTTAAATGACAAACAGTTTTTGTTGTTTAATACAATCTTCTTCTGTTTATTATTCCTGTTCCTATCTACACGATATATGTATATGAATAAAAAAAAAGTGTTCGTCACGGGACGCCCGACTGAATTGATAGACAGATATTTATAGAATCCGTAAAATATTGAACTTGTTTGGCATGATCGCAATAATAATTTTATGTCAATATTCTTGTTAGTCCAATAATTTATAAATGGATTAGGAACAGGTAAAATGAAATTTAATTTCTTTTTGAATCTTTGAAATATATATTTTATTTGCATCTACATTCTTCAATAGTTGCAGTTGATTCTCTGGTATTTACATTATCATGATCTAATCCTATAAAAGTAATTTGGTTTACGATTATGACCGTATTAAAAACAAAATAGTGACACTCGATTTTATCTAAAGATCTGGAAAACTCTGCATCGCTCGATCAGAAAAAAAATCAACATTAAAATATCGACTTGAGAATGAATGGTGATTTATTGTAGTTTTGACCAAGTAAACTGTAACCTTAAGACTAATCGTCCTTTGGATGCGTTTTCTGTGCGAACTACGTTTCGCAGAAATCGGACGAATGATTTCCTCTGATATATATCCGTATATGCGAAATATATGGATATAGACCACTGAAAGTTTGTGTTTTTATGTATCAAATAAGCAAATTTATACAGGGTAATTATATAACTGTTAATAAAGGATGATGATTTTCTTTTGGACAACAGTTATATTGTTCGAAGACAATTAAGTACAAGATTTAAAAAAGAATCAAAAAGACTTATTAGTTTTTCAACATCGATTTCAGCTCAGTCTAAGCCAGGCATATCGTCGCCGTAACGCATTCCAACCGGTGTAGACCGTGCTATAATAAGTTATCACTTCAATAAAAAATTATTTGGATTTAGTTGACGTGTAATAGCACTAATTTCTGATGCTTTTAAGTTTACTCAATTTGACCTTTGCAGCAAGACATCGACATCTTGTCTCATATTTTAATTAGAATCGAAAATCTATAAATAGGCAGTTTTTACTACAACAATGATAGTGCAAACCATAAATGAGATACCAAAAACAAATCTTAATTTATTGTGAAATCTGGTTAGTTGCGCCTTAAACGACTAATCATTCTTAACAGCATAGGTCCTTAGAGAAAAAGTAGATATTGCATAATAAGCCGAAGCCAACGTAAGAACTACTAGTGGAAAACAGTTGACTTGGCGAAAAAACAGCAAAATCGAAAGTGACTTGAAAGAACAAACAGCGTTTTCGAGATAGTCTTTTAAAACAAGCCTAACAATATTGCAAGAAAATGGGATCGCGCACATTTAGACACATTGTATTCCGAGGAATCTCCTCAACATACTGCGCTATAAAAGTGGATTTACACGCTCAAGTCATGCTTGACTAACGTGTTAACTAAAGCTTGAGCACGTGTGACTAAATACAGACTAAAATTTTTCCAAACAGTAGATAATATTTTGTGAATCCGCATCGGACCTGACGCCGGCACCGACATATTTTTTTATTTGACAGCAGATAAGGCCTACATACGCAAGAAAACGTGTTTTCTGGTAGTACAATAGGTACCACGACTACCACCATACAAATTTATGGCTTTATTCTTCTATTCACCATCAGACTTAGAGTCACAGGCTGCAGATGACGTTTGAAAAAATTGCGACAATATGTAGGCCATTTCGGACTTATTTTTACAATCGCGTTCTGAACAAAATTATTCATTAATCCAAACAGTTACTTAAATCGATAAAAAGTTTGATAACAAGTGGAATACAACAGTAATATTTGGAAATAAATACATTAAAGTGGTAGTAATAAAACAAAATCCCGCACGTGGTAGAAATATTTCATTCAACACCCGTGAACCACGATTGAACATCGTTTAGACGCTCAAGCCAATGCGCTAGAGGATTTCTGCCAGGATAGACTTTACTCAATCCAAATTTTCCGGCTTGCGCAACTGGTAGTAGTATTGTGGGGGGACCTGATGGGTCCGGCGAGTAGGCCTTAAAGGCCCTTTTCGCCATTTTCCCTCCATCCATCCCCACCTTACCACACCTGATCTTCGCCACCCAGGCGTCCCGTCTCCGTGACAAAGCCAAAGACTCGTCTCCACCACATGGAAGACAATTCGATGCGGGGGAGTATGGAGCCTCCTACTGGACACACGGGGCTATCACCAATTCCTAGTAGGTGTAGGTGTCTGTTCAGACCTCAATGGTCGGTCATGACCAACCAGTTCTCAGGGTCTAGCGAGTCCTTGACATCAAGGAGATGCATCATAATTTGATGTTGCCTTGGTGTCACTTGGAGTTTCAATCAACTATTTGGCTTGTCTAGACCCTTCCGCCTTTCTCCACATCTCTGTGGTGCCTCTAAGAGCCCAGTCATTTAGAGCGCTTGCTACCTGTCGGTTACTTAACCCTATGTGAGGTTCGGCAGTTATGGGGCTCTCAGAAGATCCGAGCCTTGCTAATGCGTCAGCCCACGCGTTTCCCGCGAACTCCATATGCGGTCTGTTCTGCCTCTTTGTTCAGCGCATCCCCGTAATCCTGGATCAGTCTACTGCCCATCGTAACACTTGAGAGTGCCTGGACGCTTACCAGTTGGCGTCTTGCCGGTACACACCTGCCCAGGCCATCCCGTATTTGGCGGCCGTTGGCCATCAGTGTACCGACCGGTAACATGGCACCCCTTTAGGAGCAGCCACTGTCCTGATATTCCAACATTCTTTTATTSATCTTAAACTTCCTTTCGAACCTAAGYCTGCTGTCAGGTGGAAGCACCTTTGCACATAGAATTTGAAGATCCCGACGCATGGCAGGTCTTATTTTTATATGTCCCTGATGTGAGTGGTTGTCACGCCTTGTAGAGCTGCATTCTATCCTCTGTAGCGCCGCAGCAGCCTCCCTGCGTATCCAAAGGTTTAGCTCAGGGAGGTCCAKGAGGATGTTTAATGCTCCTCATTGCGCCGGTCATCGCTAGACAGGCCAGTCTGTGCAGACCCGCCAGTTTTCGGAATATGTACGCCTTATCCACCGCCGCCCACCAGACCACGAAACCATAACAGATCCTCGGTCTTATAACGGCAATGTACAATCCCTTCATACCTTGTTGTTTCAGGCCCCAGTTTTTTCCTTGCGCCCGTCGCAGGTGCCCCATAGTGACAGTAGCCTTCTGCTTGACTTTCTCTATGTGGGGGTTGCACGTGAGTTTAGGGTCTAGGGTCACGGTACTTGACCTTTCCCACGAGGGTAAAAGGTTTGTTTCTTTTTCTTTTCTTGTAAAGAGAATAATCTCTGTTTTACATGCAAACTGCATTCTCTCGCAGACAACCGCCTGAAACTTTTTTTAACGAGGACTAGGCCGTCGCCCGCATTGGCTGGACAGCCGGTTGCCCCACAAGCAGGCACTGGCTGTGCGGCTCCCAATCGCACACCGGATCCAGTTTATTACTGAACCGGGAGCCGCTTTTAATTTAAGAGCATTGCAGATACTGCTCTATTGGTTCTGGCTTTATCAAAAGCCCCCTCCACGTTCAAAAAGAGCGCCAGTGTCACGTTTTTATCCCTGTTTTTTGCACCAGGGAGTGGAGAGCCGTATCTGTTGACCTTCCATTCCTGTAGGCATGCTGGTTACTCTGCAGCGGAATCCTTATGAGGACTTCCTCTGTTAGGTACCTATCTATCATCTTTTCTAACGTTTCATAAGGGAAGACGTTAAACTTATGGGTATGAATGATTTGGCCTCGATGTAGTCATTTTTACCGAGTTTGAGTATAAAGACCACTTCCGCTGATCGCCAATCATTACGGACATAACCCATTGCCACCCTGGCACTGAAGATCCTTTGCAGTGGCGGGAGTAAGATATCTAGGCCCCACTGCAGCATTATTCGAATTATCCCTGACTACTCTTTTTGCCGTGGTCCAGTCCCATTCGTTGGAACAAACCTTGACCTCCGAGCCCCCGGTGCCACCATCGCCTTGGAAATGCTTCGTTAGGAGAAGTTGTAAGCTCTGCTTTTGCCAAAGCATTGCGCCAACTTCAAGCCTGCGTTCAACGATTTGCTTGTGCAAGCCAGTTTGTGCAAATTGCCCTAAGGGTTCTTAAAATTGATATAGCCAATAAATCTAATATAAAGCTAGTGGATTAATTCGATATACTGGCTTACGTGCATATTCTTTAGTAATTCACTTTGAAAAAAAACATTTTCGTTTTTATAAAATCTAGCTTCACTGAATCATGGCAATGAGCAAAAAGAGTCCAAGAACCACAACTTGCAATTCACCAATTAGAAATAAACGTCACTTACCTACAGCCAAAGCCACCAGAAACTGGAGCAATGGTTTATAAAACTTCTTCTGCATCATTGGAATTATCACTAGAGCACCAAGTCCACATACACTTATAACTACCACAGCCAAAATTGAGAAAAGCCAATTTCTGGCATAATTTCCTCGTGGTTCAGGTGTGGATATTTCCAACGTGGCTTTTTCTATTGTCGAGCACTTCTCAGTTAAGAGACTGTAAATCAGTAGCGGACAGGCTTCAGAAAATGCCGTCTGGTTTAAGGGCTGCTTTTCGGTTCTTTGTTGCAGTACGGCGATCCTTTCCGTGTTGAAGCACTGAAAAAACAATAGAATAAACTTGTAAAATATATAAAGAAAAAAAACAACTAGAGTTGGCCATTAAATCAAATAGTGTCTTAAGAGATGTGCTAAATAACTCGTATTAATCATTAAAAATAATGTTTCTGAAATACCTATAACATATTCTAAACATATGTTCAGCTGAATTATCATTTTGAGTGTGAAATATTGCAAATTAGAAATAGCACTTTTAAACTCAAATACACTTCAAAGCAGTGGTTTATCTTTATAACAAACAAGCTAACGCTTTTCCAGAATATTTCAAATCAAATTTTTTAAAAGATAACCTTTGTCTTTATAATTTTTTATCAAACATTAAACTTGCCCTTCTAACTTAAATTACATTATTTTTGAATTAAAGGAAGATTAATACATAATGAAATTGCAACACCACACGGCATTAAAACATATTAATATTTTTAAGACCACATAGTTACATAAATATATCTAATTGTTTTTGAGTAGAACGCTCTGGTTATTTTTTTATGACATAAGTTTGGACATCGTGTATAAACTGCAGAGTGTCTGTTATTCTAAGTAGAGTTAGGCAATCTTGGGATGACTTAAAGTTTGAAAACGCTATCAGAATTATTTTTAACGTTGTAGCATAGATACCTAGACATTATTATTTACATGAACTTAGCACAATTATCTTTATTTGACTTTGGCGTTAAGTTCTTCATTATCTAGAAGCATGGGACGCGGCTTATAAATACAATCCAGATGTGCAAATATTTGAATATATTTTCTTAGAAATGATTATATCTATATAAGTAAAATAATGCGTAATTAAATAGCTTTAAAAATCGTAAATCAATTATTCACATTGTAATCGTTAACTTTAAAGCATATAATAGCCGGAACTTTGCTGTAAAATTATTTGACAATTATTAAAATGGAAAATTAGAAGGCGATTGATTTCCAACGCCCAATCAAGTATCAGATACCGTGATAAATCGAGCAGTTTTACTCGTTAATCGTTTGTAGAATGACGACAGAAAGCGGAAGCATCAAATTTTAATACCCCAAGCTGCAAGTGCAACTTTTTATCATTGATTATGCATACTAATTCAAGCGCAAACACGTTCAGCGAATTTTTGAAGAATAATTACACAGTAAATATTTCATTTAATTCTAATGACATAAGCGCTAAGCAAAAGGATGTTCATGAAATAGGCACTTGACTTGCAATAAAGTTAATCAATTACAATGAAACGTTCTGAAAGAACATCTATTCTAATAGCTGATACCAATATAGCTAAGAACGAAAACAAATCAAAAATATTTTGTTGTAAACAGAGATCAAAATTAACTGAAAACACCGGTAAATTTTCATATATTTGCATTTCTAGGCCAACAACTGGTCAACGCAATGTTATGTTCAAAGTAATGTTAAACGAGCTGCTATTAAAAGATTAGAACTTGTAGTGTAGAAAAAACGGTGGTCTAGAGTTTTGATAATAAATCAAATTTAATCATGATCAAATCTTGATAAAATATGTTTTTGTCACAGTAACTAATCATTATTCTTTATAGTCAAATTCAATTTATAATTTAAAAAATTTCTAATTTAAAGATATGAAAAATATATTGAAAAATGTTGGAATGCATAAACAACTTCCAGGATTTGCTTGAAAATTGGTGAACTATGTCGCGGTCAAATGAACTATTCCGACATCTATTGCCTTGCCTTGCCAAGATGTATAGTGAAATTGGAAGCAATATTTGTAATGCAATATAAGAACAATAAAGAATAATAGTTGACAGTATGATAAGAATGGTTGGGTTTAATAAAAGTTTGCAATATTGAAAGCATATCCGAAAATTAACCAGAGAGTCACAATTATATCAGCTTTATGTAGTCACTTACACTGCCATTATTTTCGATCTGCCTAGGCTGCTTTTTGACATCCACATCTAAAGTTTTATGATGATCCTCCTTATCATGTGCTTCAATCCTCTCCGTTACAACCTGCAATAAGTCCAGCTTTTTCAAGAGCCTTTCGAGTCCCTCTATGGACATTTTATCTCCATCGCCAAACTTTAAAAATATCTTCTTTAAGAAGTCGGAATCCCGTTTCGTGCTTGGGTCAATATTTGTTATATCAGATCGTTCTTCGTTATGCCGTTTAGCTCTACAAACGTAAAGTAAGCATTAATGAAATTAAAATAAACTTGTAAAAGTTTTTCAATTTATTCGTGATGAAAGACTCAAATGGGAATGGAAATCATCTATCATGGAATAAAAATAAATAGGAAATATTGCCGTTATTGTAACTAGCAATTAAACTGCGAGAACAATTGCTAATATCGCTACCAGACCAGACTGACCCCCGCATAGGGGCTGAAGTTAGAATGTGGAAAAAATTGTTCCACTTAAAGATACAATTGACCTGTTTGAGCGCTTTCTACGTCTTTAAGGAACAACTCAGAAACTCGGGGTGAAAACTTTCCATTAACTCTGTATATCGGGGCAATAAACCAAATTTTCTTTTTCATATGCGAACACGGCGCCATATGTAAATTATGGCTGCAATGGAAAAAATCTACCCAAAAAATCTCAGTTATCGCAAAATTACTAAGATATAAAATTAGCAGCAACTATACAAGGTATCCCAAAAAGCTACATATAAAACTTATATTTTTCATAGTACCTCCTAAATGCAATTTCATTATGAAACCCTACATAAAAAAGGTAAGCTTCAATAAAGCATAGTATAGAAAATGTGAATCAATTTTAATATAATGTGAGCAGATATGCAAATTTTTGAATGTAGGTCCGCTTTACAGCTGTATACTCTTAATAAAAATTCGCAATCAATAAAAATGTATACAGAAATGTAATTTAATAATTCTCGACTTAAATCACTTCTTCACACCCAAAAATGTATTCTTTACCCAAAACCGCTAAAATATCAACCTCTGAAATTAAGCTGTAGCTATATGGTCCGAAAGACACATTTAGTGATGAGATTCAATCATACAAATTATTTCCGCTGTAGAATACTCTCACTGTGACGACTTTTCATTTACTAATTAACAGAAACTGTATTAAAATATTAACAGCGCTTTAATTTCAACGACTTAGGAAGCAATGGTCCACTGGTTTTTTAATAGAATACCCGTTTCCATTACGACTTTGATTATTCGTATAGTCAATTATTTGGAAAACGATTGCTATTAGACGTCCGATGTTAAAATCATTTTTAGGCAGGAATAAAAACGTTCGCCCAATGCAAACTATCATGTGTTAAACATAAATGATGTCCTATTTAGAATAACCGAGAAAATTGAATCGAAAGTTACGGAAGCTTGGAAACATGATATTTAAGTTTGGGTTCAAATCAAATTTGTATTAAGTAGTAAATGGGTCATTTTAATTATATCATAAATTACGTAGCGGAAGTCATTTATGTTAGAAATAAATTAGAATCAATCAATAGTCATATTGATTGATTCTAATTTATTTCTGATTGAAACTTACCTTTATTTTCCCTAAAGAATTTGATAATATTTCATTAACAATTTATTTTCCTGAAACAAGTAACTGTTGAAATTACTATGCAACTTTTGTTGATGCCATTCGTCCCATATTTACCACCCCTTTATCTCGAGGTGAACCAATTTTCTATTTCAACTGGCAAAATAAGCCATACGCATTTGCTCTGTTTTTTTTTAATAAAAGCTTATAAAATAAATAAAAGCAAAAAGCTAAGCAATTAACAATAATTTACCACAGTAGAAATAAAAAACTGATTTCAATGCCTGAAGAAAAAATTATTTTTCTTTTGGAGCGATCGTTAGTATTAATTGTCAAGTAAGTATTTTTTTAAGTTTGACGAAGGAAAGTTTTCTGCCTATCTTAGTCAGTGTTTCTCGATAATGATGATCATCTCAGAAGGACAGCGAATTGGCATTTTAATGTTGTCGGGTTGTGAAAATAAAGCACGATGTTTAAAAAATTGTATTTTTAATACAAAATACCCTGATAATTATTTTGTGTTATCAACTACTCAACTACCAGTGGACTATTTCATAGAATTGAAGAGATAATGGGTATATGTGATAGTGACATTGTCTCGCATAATATAGCTTCTCTTATAAAGCGACTTTTATTTAAATGGCTCTGTTAACAAATGTGGTCGAATGAGAGTCTACAAATAATATATGAAGGAGACAAAAGTCAATGGATAAAAGCTTACTGCTCAACGGTACTTGGATTTGCTCTCATTGAATGAGTACCTGTGTTAGCAACATTGAGCCTAACGAAACTAATTTTTACCACTCCAACTCTTTCTATAGAGATCTATTTAAAGGAAAAGGACCCAATAGTACCGAAAACATTGAGGACTTTAATACATAATACGGAAGGTAATTAAAAGGAAATCAATAGAATACGTAGAAATGAATAGGACTACCAGGAAAATGCTAAAAGAAAGAACCAAAAAAACAGGAAACAGGTTGAAAACAACAGGAATATGAAATGCTTAAGACCAACACTGGGTAGATACGAAATAAATAAATATCATCAATATGAGAGAACTATTTTATGCAGAACTATACTAAACAAACACGGGAAGAAATCATAAAATAAACAAAATTAAATGAAGAAGGAAAACTCAGAACTACAACGAGAAAAGGACTTTGAAATAAATGAAAAATACCAAAGCACCTGGAAAAGGCGGAATAACGGCAGAAATGTTAAAATATGGTGGAAAAACTGTGATTGCTACTCTCCCAAATAAAATATTAGATCAGAGAATCCCACACAACTGCAATAAATCCGTAACCATCATTTTCCATAAGAAAAGTGATAGAACAGACCTAAAAAAATATTGACCTATAACACTCCGTAATGTAGTTTAAAAGCTCCATACAAAAATATTAACCACTAACAACAAAATTCGACGGATACCAATCGAAAGAACAGGCTGGCTCCAGAAAGCGTTTCAGCAGGAGCGACCACCTATTAACAATAAACATCCTAATGGAAAGAGCCAGAGGAAAGATCACATCCCAGTTTAGATTGCGTTTATCGAGTTCGAACGGGCTTTTGATAGTTGAACAGGGCAGCGAAAAGCTCGCTAATTAATAGCAGAATAGACTACAAATACACAGACCTAATAACCAACATATATAGCAAAGCACCGACAAATAAAATCCATGGAACAAGATCAATACGCATAAGAAGAGGTGTTAGACAGGGCCACACAATGTCACCTAATCTTTTTAACCAGGCTCTAGAGGATGTTTTTAAAAAAATAGACTGGGAATAAAAAGGTATGTGGACAAGACCTGAACAAGCTAAGATACGCGGATGATATCGCCTTTATAACAGACAAGAAAGAAGAACTGACGGAAGTACTGGAAGAAATGGACACAGCAGCTAAAAATATAGTCTTAATATGAACTACGCCGAAACTAAAACCACGACGCACACTCATCGCTCAGACTCAGACTCACGCAAGACATCGCAATCAGAAGAGAGCAAGAAAAAATAGAACACGTTGATGAAAACATATCTCTGGGACAAATTATTAAACTCAACACAGAAAACCAAACAGCAGAAATCAAGAGACGAGTTAGATAGGGTTGGTCAGCATTCGCCAACTTGAGCTAAAAAATATCCACAATACCTCAAAACCAAAGTATATAGTCAATGTGTACACCCTGTCCTCACTTATGGATCCAAACATGGATAAACTAACAACAGCACAATGATTAATGGAAAGACAAATGTTACATGTAAAATTAACAGAGAAAGAGAAACAAGTGGATAAGAATAAAACGAAGTAAGAGATGATAGAAAAAAGATAGCAAAATTAAAATGGAAATTCGACGGTCACAATATCAGACAAAAAGACGAACGATGAAACAAATGTATTCTAAACTGGAGATCCTGGGAAAATAAAAGAAGTAGAGGTAGACCCCAAAAGGAGGGCGGATGACCCGAATAAGCACTCTGGAACTAGATGGATGAACGTGGCGACAAACAGGGGAGAGTGGAAAATACTGGGGGAGGCCTATGTCCAAAGGTGAAAGTTTTTCAAAAACCAACTGGGTAGCTGCAGATGGAGAGATTGTAAATTATGGGTAAATTTTACCAATAAAAGTTGACCTGTAGTTTCAATCTTGTTTGACCTTTCGGCATTTTTAGGAATTTGTTCGTTCATAAAAAATGCATTAGATGCCAAAGAAACACTGTATAGAACATTCCATTAAAAAGAACATAAATTGGATACGAAAGTATTTGTTTTTTTACGAATAATAACGAATTAGGTTGGCTACCCTGTACACCTAAGCTAATTATTTAGAATAGCACACAAACTATTTATACGACAATCAATTAAACGGTTTGAACGTTCCCTCGATCACGATCATAATCAATAACCTTCATGAGCCGCTCAACAGTTAACTTCAATCACACCAAAGTGAGTACATTTGATATCTATAATTAGAACTGGGGAATTTATAAATCGACCACGTAAACTTAATACTGCCGATATTTCCTCAGAAGACAGTTTATTAATTTTCGAAAACCTCATCATGAGTTAAGTTTTTCTGGTGTTTTGCTCTCCCAAAAGGAAGAATTTTTCCCTTCAAAAACTGATGAATGTTTTAACACTTTGTAAATTATAATTTGTATACAACATATTTTAATTGTGAATTGGTGTTTGTAGTTTGTGTAAATTTTGAATCTGATGATGGCGCTGTTATCTCGCTGAAACGTAATGAAATAAACGATGTTTCAAAATTTTTACTTCACACTTTGACTGAGACCCAGGAAAGATAGGAATATCATAACGAAAACCTCACCTTTAGAAGAAAATGTTTGAACATAGTACAAATATCAGTTAACAAAACTGGTTCCCAATACCTACCTTAAGGTGAGCTGCTCATGATGTTCACGTTGCAAAATATTCGGATCCTTATAGCCATCATGTCGGTACTCTCCCAAATTGGAAACGGCAGCGTGAGACCCACAGGGTGTATGAGTAGCACAAATGAGGCAAAAGATGCATACTGAAAGTAGGTGCACCATTTTAATCTGAAACAAAAATTAACCATGTAGAGAAAACATTGAAGTTTTATACCGAAAGAATGTTCAGTCATTTACCAAAGAGGGGAAATTTTAACAAGCTGAAGAGGTTTGAAGCTTTCGAAATACTGAACATCGTTTATATTGTGATCTAGCTTTTAAGTTTAGTAAACCTTGCTGCAAACAGATCAAGAATTTAACTGAAGCTTATAAATGTACTTAAATGGACAAATAGTTTAAGGCTGCAAAATGCTTGAACAAATACGGAACCGAACTCAGCGATATTATATAACAAAAGTATAGCACTCTGAAAAAACACGTTTCCAGCTGAAGATGCACTGATCTACAAATCAAAAATAACAAGATCGATTTCTTCTAAAGTCGATAATTTATCAATACTAAAAGATGAGACTTACACCTAACATCGCTGTGATATCCGCTAGGTACTTATAACGATAGACCATAAAACCACTACTTAAGCAGCAGCCGAACTGAGTCGCCGAATAAAAACTATCGCTTTATATAGCTGACAAAGCTGCGTTAATTACAAGGAAGAGTTTTTAGCAAGGTAAAAAATATCAAAACACGAAATTAAAAAACCGCAACTATTAAAACAAGTAAAAAACAGTTACCGAAAATGTTACAACGAAATGCAATAATACGCAGCAGTCTCAACCTATCAAAACCTTGTATTCGTTTCCTTAACTGAAATAAGACCTCCACTTCCGATTGGGTTTTATTTGTTAATATGGAATTAGATCATTGAGCTAACTCCAAGTGTTAACTCATATCCAGTGACTAAATTTTGAAGCTAATGCTAGCGCAACTGTTTTTGCGCTGCATATATTAAGTAGTGATAAAATTAAAACAAATTGTTACGGGGGCACTAACAGGCTGTTTTCTAAGTAGAAGGGCGTTACTAATATTACATATTTGAAAAAGGGATTGTTTTATTAAATACCGAAATGCTGATTGTTATTTCCGGGGTGGTTAAAAATTATATCAATATTAAAATAATTAGAGAAATGCGCATTTTTTAATAACGGATTTGCGGTCTGCTTTGTAATTTCTTTCTTCTGCTTGTTTTGTTTACTGTAATTGCAAGTCAAGCATAAACCAGTGAAATGAAACATGAAATATTGAACTCAAACTAGGGATGGGACATCGATTCTCTAACATCGATGGTAGTCATCGATGTTGACATCGAAAGGTAATATCGATGTTAGAGAAACATCGATGTTCTGATAGTTTGGAGTTGCATACAAATTTCGAATTGACTAACTTAATTTTTACTTTTAATTAATTAATTACATCGATGTTTGCGAAACATCGATGTTTTTCTCCCATCCCTAACCCAAACTGACTTACATCTTCACAAAATATTAGATACATGGTGTCCCTGAAATGTCTGTACAACGCAACACACACATTCAATTTACAAACCACAAGTTCCTTAACAGAAAATATGACGATCTAAGCAAACTTACAAGGCGACAAGGTTCTCAGATTCTATATGTGCTTTCCAAATAACTTCTAGACGCCTATATATAAAAATGAGGCTTGGATCGTTACTGTAAGCTTGGAAGACATTGGTCCACTTTCTGAATTTATTCAGAAGACTTGATCGTACCAAACCAATCGAACTTACTAAGCTGCCAAACAACTAAGGAACCTGATGGGAAAAACTGAGATTTTTAATTATGTCAAAACAAAACCGATAGTTAGTCCTTTCTCCGGTGACTAACTTTTCTATTATTTTGCACACTAATGTGTGCGAAAATTAATATAAAAAAAGCACCAGAAGGTGCTAACAGGACTTTCAGAGTGTTAAAATTGCAATTATCGTAATTTGAAAAATTCTATAAAAAAAAATACTTGGTGGTCAAAGTTCGATCACTAAATGTCAAGAGCGGCACAGAAATCAGAAACTTTCAACACCAAAAGAAATAGTTTTTTAATTTTAGGCCCTTGGCAGTAAAAAGACAACAGTTTTATTGGTCAATGTTGTACTGATCCGGCTCGAAGGACCAAAATGTAATGGTCTCGATAAGCCAAATGATTCCGCTTGCAAGACTCGCAGTATAAAGGGGAGAGAATCTCTGCACTTCGAAGACCCAATGTATTTGTTGAGAGACGAGTGTTTGGTGGGTAAAATTGGAAGCAGATGCAGGAATAATAATGATCTGGCGATTCTGAATGTGCCTAACTAGCACTGGTAAAGACCGTTTTATTTTTTAACTTTGGACGATTGGGCTCGGTAGTATGGCTGTACACTAAACCGAGACTTTTGAGAGTGGTCAAGCTGATTGTGACCATTGTGAAACAATAGTGAAAAGAGTAGCCGAGCACAGTTATGTTTTTGCTTTTTGCACAATAGTCAATTGTTGCCCTTCTAATTTCACAATGCCCTTTGCAGTAGACATTTGGTATATAGTGCATTCTGTTAAGTGAACTACTTGGAAACGAAAACAATCACCAATTGCATCAAGGCTTTCACGCTTGCCATGCAATTCGAGCAATTGTACCGCTTAGCGGGGTGTCTAAGAGTCCCAATTGGCCCGACAGACACGGCTGATTTTGGGACCTTAACGGGAATCGGTAACAAGGGCGTACCGTTTCAGGAATTCAGCATTGAAACGTAAACTTGGACAATAACTGTATCCATTGTTTAAATGTTATTTGAACAGTTGTGCTAAATTGTATTATTGTGTCTCTTGAAAATCGCCATTAAGTTTTTTAACATTACTTACGAGACTGTCTTTTCTAGAGCTTCTAATGCTTATAAAATATCTCAAATTTGAAATGATTTAGTAATCTGACAACTCAAATGCAAAATGAGGTCATTTTCTTTCTGGGTAAAATGAAAAATACTTTATACTCTGAAAATTGGCACGCATGCTCTATGACGACAATTGAGCCTAAAAACTTATCAAAAGCGCCAATAGCTTTGAAGCTCCTCAGACAAACATTTTTAATGAAAGTTGAAATTAATAGGGTGATACAGAGTTCAATAAGTAAGTTTAGCAAGAAATGCGAACAAGAAAAAGTTTTAAAACAAAATTTCAAGGCAAACTAGAAAAATGCCTTGTTTGCAATAAAGCTAGACCTACACTCCATTGATTAATAAATCGTCTAGACAGGCATCTCTAAACTAACAGCGAGTTAAATCATTAAATTAATAAAACGGATATTAAGCCTACGCAACAATTAATACCTATTGCTCCATGCGTAGATTCAAAATTAGTCCCATTTACAAATAAAACTTTTCTGTTTATTTTTCGAAGGAATTACTTCTTGAAGATGTACTTTCAACTTAGCTTTGAAATATAATAATCAAAGCAATGGTCAAACTAGCATAGCCAAACATTACAAACAAAGCCTTGCAAAATTGCATAAACTTCGATAAATTGTCTTTCCAGTCCCTAAGAATAGGGGGACTAAACCATGTTTAATCTTTCTGAGCTGAGGGAATTAAGTACCGTAAACTTGCGGTCAACAAAGAATTTCTTTATGTTCCAAATAATATTTGATTGTCATATAAATAAAGTCCTAGCTTGGAATATTGTCAATTCATATATGATAGTTTCTAAATAATGGGTTTGTATTATGTTTGTACTCACTTATATCACGTTTTTTAGCACAATATTTTACTGTGTCACTGGCAATATTACCGTCCCATATTGAGGTCGATTCACTACGTGAACTGGGCCTATATTAGAATTTTGCATGGGAAGAACACTACATAATATTTTGCTTAAAAGTGGGTGGTCAAGTTTAAATTTTGTTTAGTTTCCTTATAGAGAACAAACCAAATTTATTATAAACATGTGGTATGATGCGATATGGGTACTAACCATTTTAATTTTGGTTTCGCCTAGTGACGAAAAATATATCAGATAATTTGCATTACAAATGCATTTTGCGAAACTCAATTGATGGATTCGGTAAATAATGTGAAATGCATACAAATCAAACTAATATGTTTTGCCATTAAAAAGTAATTTGTACAATGCGATGAAAGAAAACATATTTAAGTTCACAACAATATAATTCAACAAATGTTTTCATTAAAGAATGTTATAGCATAAAAAGGCACTAACTTGTCCTAGGGATGAGAAATCATACCTAAAGGCGGATGAATCAACGGCATGGGGATGCAGAAGGCAAAGGGAAACCACTGCATTAAAGACTAAGACTATTCCTAGTACAATCGTACACAGCAATCATGGCAATGTTCAAAACAAAATATTCCGCAGTTAGTTCCCCAATCGGATCTCCGGGGGAGACTGGCGAAGCAACAGAAGCAACTTTTATGAAAGCAACAGCGAAGAATATGAAGATCGGGACGTGAAATGCAAGAAATATTTTTGCAACATAATACATGTGTATGTACCAAAAGCGAATAAGGAGGACCATGAAGTTGAAGAATTTTATGCTGACTAGATGATGTCTTTAGAAGCATAAAGAAGAATGATATAACAGTAGTTATGGGAGATTTCAACGCCAAAGTAGGCAAAAACAAAGTGGAAGCACACACAGAGGAGTAAGGAATAGTAGGCAGGATCGACTGGCAGAGTTTTTCTACAAATGAAGAATTAATTAATAATATGAGGTATGCTGATGATACCGTCTTGTTAACGAGCAGCCTTGAAAACACACAAGACCTTTTAGAAAAATTAAATGACCGATGTAATAAATACGGACTAGAAATCAACTTTAAAACTTAGAAAACCAAGTTAATGGTAGTTACAAAATTTCCGCAAAATCTGAACTAGGTAAACACCACGATAGAGAATGTGTCGCCATATCTAGGAACTTGGATAGAACAATCCGGTGATCAAACAAGAGAAATAAGAACGAGGATAGAGATAGGCAGATCAACATTAGTAATATTAATATGGAACTTAAGATGAAGATGCTACGTTGTTACATTTTTTCCACGCTCTTGTATGGCGTTGAAGCATGGACAGTCAAGAAAAACCACAAACACAAACCACAAACAGACAAAC